CTGCTTCAGAAGACACCCAGACTAACCATTCAATTCTGTGAGGAGCCCCAAGAGGAGTCGGGGATTGAGCTCACTGCTTGTGAGGTTAGGCACACGATCCATGACAATCATTCCAGAGCTTTTTTCAATGCTCCTCAATAAGTCAAACTATCTCATCCACCAGGATCCACAGTCAGACTGCCTGGATTGTTCAAATGTCCACTCTGCCACTTCACAATTTGTTAACCCAAATCACTTTATCGAACCCCTCTCTCCCTTGCAAGGAGGTTATCATAATGGTACCCACCTTGGTAAAATTTAACACATAATATTTTCAGACTAACACCACAATGGGCATGCACAGGCTGAGCTTACAAAAACCAGTAAGGATGACGATGCTGTCAAACACTTTACAAAAAGTACTGACTATATGCCATGTTCTGTTCACAACAGTATACATTCAATACCTCCTCTCATATTCACAAAGGTCCTCTGAGAAAGGTCCCACCATGACTATCAGGAAATGGTAGCACAGAAAGTTTGAGGAATTTGTGAAACACCAGAAAACAAGGGGCAAAACCAAGAATTGGCTTTAGGACATCTGTCTGCAAATTCAGAGACTTCAATCACTGCAGTGTGGTGCAGGGTCTCTTGTAACTTTCTGCTGTTTGCACTGAGTTTGCCTACCCACATGTCAGATGCTAGTGCCAATGCTTAGCACGCCAGGCATGGTGGCACGCACCTGTAATCCTGGCACTTTGGCAGCTGAGGCAGGAGGATCACTGTGAGTTCGAGATCTGGACTACATAGTGAGTTCCAGGTCAGGCTGAACTACATAGTGACACCCTGTCTCTAAATGAACGAATGAATGGATGCATTTTTGCTTTGCAGCAATCAGCTCACTGAAACCTCACAGTAGCCCATTTCTTATTTCACCGTAACATTTGCATTAAATGCTTATGTTAACGCAAAGGAAAGATGAACACAAGGAGAGAGCTATCAGCTTACAGCGCTAAGAGAAGTGAGCCAGAAGTTGAACACTACAGAAAATATCACCGATGCCCTAGATGGGTGGGGAAATTGTTACTCATCGCACAGAACAAGTAGAAGTGAAGATAATGATCCATTTTGCTAGCTTCCAAATTTTCTTGCAAAGCCAGATCATTACAGTAATCAGAACAGGGACAGACAGACAATGTCGTACGAAAGGTTGGGTTTTGACGTCAAACACCGGATTTTCACTGACAAGCAGTGTGTCTTCTCAGGGAGTCAAGCAACTTCTCTGGGCCTTGAGTTTTCTTTCAGTACACTTGGGTCACTAATATCTAATGTGTATGGTTGTTCAAAAATTTAACTAGAGAGATTTCAAGAGTTATATGTAGTAACTTACAGGGATGACACAAAATAAACATTAGTTTCTGCCTACAGCATAGTGTAACTACAGCAAGTATAGACGAGAGCAGGTACGGTTTAAACTAGAGTAAGATTTTGCTGTGTTGGTGGTGGTGGATGAAGCCCACGCTCTTCAATGTGGAGAAAAGTCACCAAGTGAAGCCTTCCTCTCCCGTCTAGTAGTGAACATCAAAATATTCTAGCAAAGGGAAGTAAAATAATTTTCTTTGCATTTATCTCCGAAACAAAATTAAACTTTGGTTGTACATTCACAACGCCATACTGGAAGGGCTTTTTCAGCATATGCCCTCAAAAGATGACACAGACATGCAAATTTCACAGCAAAGAAAATTCTGTATCCCTAATTGGGTCTAACTTTTGAGGTCCTCAGAAACGTTTAGTTGACGTCACTTTCATGGTTCACCGTTACTTGGGGGTTTGATTACAGTATAAGCTTTTCCAAAGCCCAATTTATGAAACAACCCCAGAATATAAATATTCAAATTCTATGGATGTTTCTTAGAATCTCTGCACAAAATGCTTAGCTCCTACTTTTATTTTCTTTGTTCTTTCATCTTACATTCTGCAGCATGACATTAATACCTCATTCTTTTCGCCTGATCTTCATTGTCAGTAAATTATTATTTGTGTCACAGAATTATAATTCTAAAAGAATATGTTTTATGCTGTGATTGATGGAAAACATATGCTTTGGACTTGTCGGGTGAGACCAATTTTCTAACACTTCAGTTCTATTTCCTCAAATGCGTTCCTGTTATAAAGCACCAATTATGGCTAATAATGACATTATTCTCACCGCAGTAAGTACTTCGTCTGGTAAAGCTTTAAGGACTCTCAACTTTGGCAATCAATTTTGTTAACTACAGGAAATGGTTGATTTCCTATAGATTATTACCTTAATGTCACATCACTCCTCAAGCTCACATACACGCAGAGCTAACGGGCTCTCTTCTCCATACACATTTACATAGACTTCTACGAAGCCTGCCCGCTAACACCTGTTCTAGAAACTGTCTTCATATATTTTCAGCTATCAAGATTTGAGTTCCTATTTTTCATCCTTACGTCTAAAATTTCAGATTATATAAATGACAAAGATCAGAAAAGAGATTAGAAAAAATATCACAAAAATAAAGAGACCAGAAAAAAAAAAACACAAAAATAACGAGACCAGAAAAAAAATCACAAAAATAAAGAGGATAAAGAATTAGTCTTAACTAAGCAGGAGGTTGCAGGGACACTTAGTTAAATTCTGGTAAGAAGGTAACAAACTTGATCTTACTGTTTGGATCTCACCATCCAATTGTGTTACCAGCCCAGAACTGGAATTGTCTCAAAATGTTTTCTCATCTCTCAATTCCTACATCCAACAACTACAGTTGTACTCAAAGTGTCAATTTCATTTTAAGGTACTATCCAAACTTTACCTTCCTCTGTTTTATATCACAATACTAAAGCTTTTCTACTTTATAAGTTTTCAAAAATTCAATGTGAGAACATTACAGAAAATGTACAATAGAAGGCAACTGTGGTTACTTGGGACTTAAGACCAAATGGACCTAGGGCACCTTTCACACCTCTAATGCACAAGAACTTTCCTCTTTCTATGGCCTCTTTGCTGCCAAGATTTCCAGACAGCAAATCAGATCATGCCTCTCTTCCCTGCTTAAACATGTTTCTGAAGGCCACTTGTCTAGAAACTTCAAGTACAAAAAGGTATTAAACCCAATTAGAAAATTCCACAAGCTATTACCTTGGACTCCAGACAGCTCCATGAAAATTGACCAGTATAGGAGGTGTGATCAAAATATGCGGTAAATGTTTACATTTCAAAAATTATAGTAAAAGACACATTGCCAATAACATCTCTGAAAATATTCCACCTTGCTTTGAAAAACTTATCTCATCATTCTTGGTACATTTTCAAGAAGTTCAGGAAGCCCTCTTTCTGCAGTATCTTAAACGATTGAGATCAAAATTATTTTGAATGCTGCTGTGGAGTCCCATCCAATTGATAGGCAGGCTTGAAAAAACATCATGGTGTGTCCTCATTTACCTCATTCACCAGATCTGGCACTGTGCAACTTCTGGCTCGTTGCCAAAATCAAAACGACTGTGAAAGGGAAATGTTTTGAATTGATTCGGGACATCAAGGTAGCCGTGACAGTATTAACTAAAGACTTCCATAAGTGCTTCAAAAACTGCCAGGAATGATGCATTAGTGTGCTCAAGGCGAGGGGAAGGATGTGGAGATGGAGTAACGATAATTTGTCTCTTACTATTGCACACATTCACTGTACTTTCCAATCATAACTTATCTTTCAAAGGTGATACTGAAGTACAGAGGCTTCTCCATATACTTTGAACTGAATGAACTTTTCCCCCAAGACAGAAATCTGTAACATTAATTTTACATTTTCAAATTCAGTGTTTCCTAGCTTTAACCATAACTATCACAGAGCGAGCCATTCTGCTATCAGAAGCAGTACCTCTAACCTAGGTTTCTAAACACCTATTTAAGCTATCCATCACCAAGCCTTACCATGGGCGAAGGATGAAGACACAAAGAAAGCACGCAGCCCTTGCCCCTCTCAAGTTCCATCTCTGTGGGAAATACACGTCAAACTTCTTACATGGAGTGTTAACGGCAACACAAGGTACTTCAGGGTAGACACAGGAATATCAAGGAGGGGATTTTCCATGTAGGGCAAACAGAGAAGAGCAATCTGAGCATAAGAAACCACCTGGGCTGAGGCAAGGAAGTATGATTATTTATGTACAGGGTGTCATGCATAAAAATAAACCATATAATTAAGACAAACAAATACCCATTATCCTATATGGGATTTTCACATGAAATGTCCACTGTTAAAGAAATGTAAATGTAACAAAATTATCAAATAAGACTTGTTTCAACTACCAGTCTAATTGTTCACTTTTGACATCAGCACAGGAAAAGGTCACTCAGGCTCACCACCTACCGCCTCATTCAAGTTTTTCAGCCATGATGTACTTTTTATTTGAATTTCATCAAGTAAATGCAAAGGCTCTACACAGCTCCGAAATACCGACAGCAAGAATTTTTTAAGAAGAGAAATTGACTCTCCAGAAACTGAGGGGATTTTCAGTTAATCACCCTGCTGGGAAGGAGGAGTAACTAGATAGCTAAAATTCTTAAGACAATGCTCAAAGCTTTATTGTGCTCAGATCATTCCGCTCCCCATTTACAAAACCTTTTATAATCACTCCTGAAGTCAGGTAAAACTTGGTACTTGCAATCCATTCCATATTGATTCCTGCAATACGGACTCAAAGTGCTTGAAGGCCAAAGGACAGATAGTCCAGTCATCAAAATGAAAGGACAGAATATAGAAGAATTTAAAGATGAGAGATGCCTCTACAGTGGCTCACTAGTCTCAGAAGAACTACAGTTAGATAGAAGATCATGTCCACATCCAAGCTGAGCAGAAATTCTTTCTAATTCCAACACCAATTTACAGGTTATTTCCAATCCTGCTGCCATCCCTTTTTCACTTTCCTTCATCACCTTGCTCCACGCCTCCCCTTCACCCAAGGAGTGCCAAACAAACATGTGTGGTTTTACTTACAATTGTGAAGTTCATGACTTTGAGAATCCAGATGGTCATGGCCAAGTTCACCAGTATCAAAATCATGAGGAGTAGAACAAAGAAATACAGGCATCGTTTCCGCCAGCCGTAAATCCCCACTTTGTATACCTGTGGTCCCTCGGAGCTGGGCATGGTGCTCCGGTGGTGTGTGTACTGTTCCTGAGGCATCTGCAACAAAGCAGGTGAGAGAATCACTGACACTAAACTGCAGAAAAAGAGAGACAGAGGAGGAATGAGAATCAACTGACGAAGAGATAAGGCTGGCTTCTGACAACTCTAAAACTGTCTCCTCTAGACAAAACTGGCTCTATTAGATGCTTGCTTTACTCCTATTTCACACAGCTTTCTTTCCTGCTGTGTACCATGACACCTATGTCTTCACATGCACCAGAACATTGGGCACTCCTAGGAAGCCCTTCGCCACATGACTCAGAATTCCAACATGGTTTCTTTTCAGAAACTTATCAAAGGCCTAAACGCAAAACTTGGAGTTGCTCTGAAACAAAGAAATTAACTCTAGAAGTTCATTTTAGTATAAAGACACTATTTGGGTATTTTATTCAGAGACAATGAAAAGCAAATTCAAATGCAATCATTTGGTATTGCCAGACAGCTTGTTGCAGAAGTAGACACTGTGACCTTTTCTTCTTCAGAGTTGAAAAGGGAAGGATGCAGAACTGAGCCTCATTTGACCTGGGAAACTTCAACAAGGGCCTGCCTACTAAATGCCCCACTACCTCCATGGGGGTCCTTGGGTTAGGCAATTCTAATCACTATCTATTTAGTAAAGGGAAAATTCTAAGTCAAGTGAAATGTGCCCATGCCTTGGAGGAGTTTATAGGGTGACAAGAAAATGAAGTAAACACTGATCAGAGGAGAATGAGATTATAAAAATATGTATCAATCTCAGGTCATACATCAATCCCTTTGAAGGTAAAGAAACTCTGAAACCCCTGCTGCTGACAAAAATGATTCTTACTAATTGGCCCCCAACACAAACCCATATAATCATCCTTTCTTTAATTTTCGAAAGCGAAAACAAAGTTCAGAACTTAGTACAAACCAAGCTACACAATGCCTGTCACATAAAGTAGTAAATAAATGCGAACCATGAAGCACAGTTTGCTGAAACTAAGTTGCACGAATGCGGTACCAAGGACTTACGCATTCAGTCTTCAGAGCACAGCATCCCTCATCCTCACCCCATCTTGAGCCATATGATGTGGCCCCTATGGCTTTTCTCTGTCTAGGTTTCTGCCCAACATCTACCGTAGCGTTTTTCCTTCATTTGGCTCTCAGGTAGCACACTGTCTCTCTTTATTCTCCCCAAAGCCAAAGGCAGTTAAATCAGTGGCACCAAACTGTCCAACACGACAACCCCAAAAGCAGGTCCTAAAATCGTAACCTTAGCCATTAGTCATCATCCGGGTGGCTTAGAAGATTACGTTAGCATGCCAGCAAAACGTACACATAAAATCTAAGTATTTCCCATAGCACCCATGGGCACCAGGCAGACTAGGCATCTGCCTCGTTCCAAACAGTACTTAATGCTGAAATCAGTACCCATATGAATTCATAGAATGAGTGAATAAAATAAATCTATAAATTATGAGCAATCGATTGAGTTTCAGTTTACTGCTGGTTCTACTGCTGTCTGGGAGTAAACATAAGCCCAAGCCCAACACCACCATGAGGTTCTTGCAGTTATTCTTGCCAATTTCCATCTCAGGCCCCACGAACACTGGTTCCCAGATAGGAAGCTTGATGCTATGAGATGTCACAGTTCATTACTCAGCTCCTCATACTTCTTTTGTCGATAAGGGATGTGTCAAAGATGATGAGAACACAATAGAGTCATCGTTCACCGGCCTTTTTATACACCAAGATCCATCAGAATTAGAAAGTGTCTTGTAAGCCCAAAGGAAATTATACCTTTTTCTCCCATCAAAGTATATTTGAAATAGAAAACAGGAAATAGAAATAGAAAGATAGCTCTTTCTCCAATGGGAAGAAGGTAAATAAAGGAATTCAGATAAGTCATGTACATGTACCAACTGCACACAAAGGCTGTAAACATTACTACTGCAGATGGGGACTAATATAAATAAATACATGAAAATCATTACAGAGTCTTTGACTTTTACCTGCAAAGTCTTTTGGTTGCAGTTTCCCAATTTACAGAAGAACTAAACTAAGATCAGAGAAAGAAAACCCTGGGGTGTGACTAAAGGGTTTGTGACAGGGGCAATGATATGAAAGCTCGCAAACATGACAAACAGATAAACCACAAATGAGTGTAGGGAAACTCATCACACAGCCACCACACCAGCTGCCTTTTTTCTGTCACATGCTTCAACCAATAGCATCATTACATAACTTAGGTACAAATGGTCATCTACTGAAATCATATATTCAGTAAATAGGGATATGATTTTTCTTTCATAGATTTTTAGAACACAATGCAACAATCACTTCGTAGGGATTCTCACTCCTAGACGTATATCATGGTCACTTGTGCAGCTGTTGAAAACATTTCCACTTAGGTTAACAAACACAGGTCTAGCATTCTGAAATCATTATTTGTAAAAGAAAATGCTAAGGATAGACTCGTGTTGATCTACAATAATGGCATGCCAGCTTGACTATGCATTTAAATCCAAAAGAAACTCAGCACATAAAATTCTGATCTCTATCAGTAGAATCTAGGGCTTGTAAAGAAAAAACAAGTTGCCCAGATGATTCTAAGCATTTGAAAGAACATCTAAAATATGGCTTTCATTTTTTCTCATAGAATAGCCATTTTAAGACAAAAATCTTGAGAGAAACTTTAAACGTGAAACAGCAAGGAAAAAAACAAAACAGAAATGAGGGTCTGGCTACCTTTGAGGAATCTCTAGAATCTTTGGGCTTCTAAAAAGCATCAATTCTCTCAGTGTCATTATTGACCAGCTCAGATAATCTAGGTCAGGGAGTAGTAGCTCCCATTCAAGTCACAGGGTGAATTAGAAGCTGAGTAGGGATTAGAACTCACAGCTGCTTGGTGTTCATATTTCACAAAGCTCCTGAACACCCACTGACTTGCTGAGACTAAAGAGATGAAACAAATTCTCCAGTTTCCAACTTGTAACATAAAGAACAGGAATAAGCAAATTTCTGCAACTGGTTATAAGAGAAGGCCTTGCCTGGCAAATATAAGGTAATGAAAGCATCTGTTACCAATAATCTCACTCAAAAAGGGAAAATTTAGATATACTAAGATCAATAATTTTTCCACTAAAAAAAAAAATCAAAGCACGTTTAAATGATAAAGACAAAAGAAGAAAGATGATGTCTCATCTGTATTTTCTTTTGTTCCTTTCCAGAAGAAATTTACTGTCCAGGGAAGAAGCTAAAGTTGCAAGTCCTCATTTGGACAGGCCTCTCTCCAGGTCTTGGAAGTGGCCCCAGTCATGCCTGAACATAGCCAAATATTTCTCCGCAACTGAAAGAAAAAAAAATCAGCTGGCTCAATTTTAACTAGTTAAACTCTGATTTTTTTTTTTTTTCAATTCTGAGTTCCCTTTGCACTGGGTAGCTTTGGAGCATTTGCAGGCTCTTTGCAGCCCCATGAGAGGATAATGAATCACAGGTCTGTAGAGTTTTGGAGCTACAAGATATACTTATTGGGCTGCAGTCACTTCCCTGAAGAGGGACACTATTGCCTGCTTGGCTGGTACAGCTGCACCTTACAGGAAGGCGTGTTCCTTCTAGAACACAAACTCCCCAGGCATAACGAATGACAAGAGGCTACCAGCCCAAAGGGACACCCTGCAAGATGAATGTGACCTATAGTGGCCAGTACCAGAAATACTTTGGTGCTGGTAGAGGGAATGGGAACAGGAAATTTTCAGCTGTGTAAAATTCTAATTGTAGAATTCAGTTTTCATTGATATGTAGTCAAAACATAAATTCTCTTCTGTCAAGAATATCCAATCATTACATATAATTATGAATGCTCCACAGTTTTCTTTTTTATAGAAAACATGGAAAACAGAATTAATCAGACCACTTGTGTTTGCAGATTATGTATACCAGGTGTACTTCTATGTAAAATTGCAAAATGTATGTATCATAATCATCACTAATTAAAAATTTTCTGTCAAAACTACCATAGGAGATAATTATCTTTCTATTAACTATTTGGCACCGGCACTCTCTGCAGAGATGTCCTTTGAAGAGGTAGTCAGGCTCTCCAGCTAAACTTTGTAGAAATATACGACACGGTCAATTATTAACAATATTCTTCTTCTAAGTTTTGTGATGTCACCTTTTAAAAATAAATACTTCTGTTTCATTTCTCATTCTCAATACACAGTTATGCTTTAAGATGCAGTTTTTCAAATTTTTTCTTAGAACAGACGCTCAAATTATCCAAGTTTCTAGCCTCATAAATCCCAGCTCCTCTTGGTCCTGCCCATCAAAGGTTTGAAGCAAATTCCACGAGCTCAGGGCAACCTCACACACACACCGCTGGCCAAGCTGGACACAGAGGGACGGACAATTTTCTCTGTCCCAGTGGGATTTGTTTTTCAGAACCCAGAATGTGTCAGAATCACTCTTGGAATTATAGATTCTTATATCTCAACCAAGAGATCCAATTTAGTAAGGCTGAAGTGTGCCTCAGGAATGTATTTTCAACAAATCCCAACACTTACACTGATACGGGAACCTCAGGGAACATGGTCTGAAATCACAAATTTAACCCAGCATAGAGATGAATCCCAGCCCCATCTATGCCCTCTCTGGAGATTTTTTTCCCTGATCACCCAACTTTCTTTCATCTCCCCACACAAAGGCCATTCCCACCCCTCAACCTTCTGCTGTATTCCTCTCCTGGGGCTTTCATTATCATTACCCTCAACCATCAGTTTGTGTTTTAAATTTATCTTTAGGGGACTGTAGGTAATGTTTTGCCCTCTTGTATAATTGTTTAAAAAAACCTTTCTAACTTCACTGAGCCCATAACCCTTGCCAAGCAATTTTCTAAAACAGACTCACATACTAATAGAAATTTTCAAGGTGGTCATCATCATCATTATTAGGACTTATTATTTAACAGATATATAAGAACTAAGGCACAAAGTCAGTGGTATATTGAGTATTAGACTCTTTACAATTTGGGCATCTTG